CAACAGAGTAGCTGCAGAAGCAGAGACTGAAATTGATACTGATAATTACAGTTCAGAAAATGATTCTGATTAAATTTCATGCCCATTCATTGAAACTTAGTTCCACACTCCCTTCTATACACTTCCCCTTCTTCAATTCTTTTTATGAGAATGGGTTTTTTAATTATTTAATACTGTGGAGTAGAAATATGAATAATTGTTACTTCTGGATTTTTAAAAATTGTTTTGTGGAGGTTTTTTTGTCTGTTCCATATAAACTAGCAAACAGTTCAGGAGATCGTTGCTCCATTTGTTACAATTACAAATAAATATTATTTTAAAAGTAAATTCTGTTTGTAATAACTATTTGGATACACTGTTTTTAATATGCTAGTTGTGATAATTTCATGCCAAGTAAAAATGTCCATAGTCATATTTTATGTTCCTAAAGTAACAGAATAACTTTCAATCTGGAAAAGAAAAAATAAGTGCTAATGTAGCATTTTTTTCAATTTTTCCAAAAATTTTCATTTCCCCCCAGAAAAAACTGGGTTTTTTTCCGAGCTTCAAAATTTCCAGAAATTTGACATCTCTGCTCTAAAGGTGGAGGTTCCCTTTAGTCACCTGGCTAGTAACCACGGATAGGCCACGGATTTGTCTCTGAGCTGTGGTGACCAGGGAGTCACCTTGAGGTGAACAGACTAACAAATTGAGCATCCGGGCCCCCTTGGCTCCACAACTGCTTCCCCTCCATCAGCCCCAAGGAGAAGGATTGGGCAGGGGGTTGGACTGGACGGTCTGTACGGCCCCTTCCAACTCTATGGTTCCATCCAGAGGACGTCTGGCTTCCAATCCCCCAAGATCTACTTCTCTTCCAAACCCCCAAAAGAATAAAACCCACATCTCCTTCATTCTAGCCCAACGAGGTGTAACTCCCCAGAATAGGAAAACGTGGTGAGAAATTTGACTATGAAAAGGCAATAGGCATGGATACATGCAGCGGCCGCCGGCCTTGCGCTTAATTGCTTCAGAGCTGTAACGCTTATCTTTGATGTTGTACTGGTGGAGAATGTGGTGTCTATCGTCCGTGGGAGCTTCTCCGTTCCCAGCTTCGCAACCGTTAGAGAGTCTTGCAGTCTCCCGCACACGGGAGCCCACCTAATTGGTTATTGCTGGGGGGGGGCATACGAATGCCCTATATCCTATTATGCGCACAGGTAGCCCGCCATTCCTAACAGTGTTCATGTTATCGCATCTATGGCTTTTCAATAAAAGTAAAACCTTCCTGGAAGCGTGCACTTCGTTGTTTAGCTGTGGCTCCTGACAGAAATTTGACTACGAAAAGGCAATAGGCATGGATACATGCAGCGGCCTCATACTGAATGAAACGACTGGTTTATCAAGGTCAGCACTGTCGACACAGGCAGGCAGCAGGCTCTCCAGGGTCTCAGGCAGAGGTCTTTCACATCACCTGCTACCCAGTCCTTCAACTAGCGATCACAGAATCACAGGCCATCTACTCCAACCGCCTGCTCAGTACAGGATCGGCCTAGAGCATCCCTGACAAGGCTTTGTCCAGCTGAAAGGGACCCCACCGCCTCCCCAGGCAGCCGATTCCACGGCTGCACAACTCCGACTGTAAAAGAGCTTTTCCTAATCTCCAGCTGGTACCTTCCCACCCTCAATTTAAACCCATTCTTGTGATTCCGCTCCTCGGCTGCCAACAGGAACAGCTCCCTTGCCCTCCTCTAAGCCCTTCGAAGACTTCAAGAGAGCCCTCCTGTCCCCCCGCAACCTCCTCTTCTCCAGACTGAACATTCCCAAGTCCCTCAGCTAGGGTTTGAACCCGGGACCTTTTCCCTGTCAAGCAGATGCTTGACCACTGAGGCACAAACGTAGGCCCTCCCTACATATGCAGAGAGTTCAAACAGGGGTCATGATCTCCTTTGTGATTAGGCTGGAACTAAGGTGGGGTTTTTTGGGGGGGAAAGGGTAAATTTTTGAACTCGAGGCTTTCACTGAACCTGGGTCCTTCTGCATGCCCCGTAGATGCTCCACCACTGAGCCGCAGCCCCTACCCAAGAATCACTAGCTATAAAAAACGAAGGTCACGCTAGGGTCAGGCATCCTTCAGAAGTCATGCTTAAGAACAGAAGAGGAGCCAATGTTGGATCAGGCCAATGGCCCATCCAGTCCAACACTCTTGTCACACAGTGGCCCAGACATAAGAACATAAGAGAAGCCATGTTGGATCAGGCCAATGGCCCATCCAGTCCAACACTCTGTGTCACACAGGGCCAAAAATACCAGGTGCCATCAGGAGGTCCAGGACACTAGAAGCCCTCCCACTGTTGCCCCCCCCCAGCAGCACCGAGAATACAGAGCTTCACTTGCCCCAGACTGAGAGTTCCTATCTATACCTTCTGGCATATAGCCACTGATGAACTTCTGCTCCATTTGCTTATCTAATTCCCTCTTGAAGCTGTCCATGCTTGTAGCCGCCGCCACCTCCTGTGGCAGTAAACTCCATGTGTTCATCCCTCTTTGGGTGAAGAAGGACTTCCTTTTATCTGTTCTAACCCAACTGCTCAGCAATTTCACTGAGTGCCCACAAGGAGTTCTTGTCTTGTGAGAAAGGGAGACAAGGACTTCTTTCTCAACCTGCTCTATCCCGTGCATCATCTTGTCAACCTCAATCATGTCACCCCTCATGCTTGTCCCAGTCTTGCCTCTTCCCCCGAGGAGACTTATTTCCAGTCCAGACGTCGGGATCCATACCTGCTGAGGCGAGAGTTTCATATCACAGAGCACCTTCTTGTCGACATTCTCACGGAACCGGATCTCGTACATGGACTCGGCCATGCGATCTCCATCCAGGACCTCCCCCAGGGTGAGGCTTTTGTGGCGGATATTCACCGGCGAGCAGACCGGGAGCTGGTAGTAATGGTAGGTCTCCTGCGGATTGTGGTACGGTCCCACCTTGTTGACGTACAGCATCACCGGATCCCCCTGCTGATAGCGGCCCTCCGAGGAAGCTGCTGAGACGAGGTAAAGGAGGGAGAAGAGCGGGGCGAGGAAGGGGTGGGGGGCCATGATGGGTCTGGTGGAGGGGTGGAGGGGCGGGATGGGAGACGGGCTGGGAAGAAAGAAAAGAGACTTTTCAGTGACTACCGTCCTTCACCAAAGAGCTTTGTTTTTCGTCAGCATTCCAACCAGTGTTCCCTCTAAGATGAGTGAGTGTGAGCTAGCTCACAGTTTTTTAGCCTCCGGCTCACACATTTTTGTCTCGGCTCAGGGAGGATGGCTCCAGAGCAAACTAATTCATGCAGCAGCCAAATCGCTCGCTCCCAACTTTAATGCCAGCAACTCACAAAGTAGAATTATTGCTCACAAGACTCCACAGCTTAGAGGGAGCACTGATTCCAACCAGAGCTAGCTGGAGATTTGCTGAGAACCAGCGTGGTGTAGTGGTTAAGAGCGACGGACTCTAATCTGGAGAACCAGGTTCGATTCCGCACTCCTCCACAGAAAGTCATCTGGGCGACTGCTGGTCAGACACGGCTCTTTTAGAGCTCTTGCAGCCCCCCCCAAATAAATCTAGCTCACCACCTAGTGGTACATAATGCAAAAAGGGCTCAAACTTGAGACTGCCAGACAATCTTAGGATCTCCTGGCTCTATTACACACAATGCCACGCAATATACTCTACTACCGGGGATTCTAGAGCTCCTGGAGCTGATGCTGGGCGCTTTGATCCTTGAAAGCTCCCCATAGCTTTGGCCATCGTCACTCCAGCCACCTAATAGTCCTTGCCCACCTCACTTTAACAGCCACTCCAGGAACATTGTGAGGACTTTTTTTTTGGGGGGGGGTCATTCCTCTGAGCACAGTCTGGATTTCTGGGGACCTCTCTCATGCTCGGCTCTCCCTTGCTGCACCTGCCCTTCTGGTAGGGGTGTCAACCAGCAGGTGGGACCTGGAGATCTCCCAGAATCGCAACCAATGCTCCCTCTAAGCTGTGGAGTCTTGTGAGCAAAAACTTCTACTTTGTGAGCGACTAGCCTTAAAGTTGTGAGCGAGCCATTTAGCTGCTGCAGAAATCAGTTTGTTCTGGAGCCACATCCTTCCTGAGCTGAGACAAAAATGTGTGAGCCGGAGGCTAAGAAACTGTGAGCTAGCTCACACTAACTCGGCTTAGAGGGAACACTGATCTCAACTGCTCTCCAGACAGCAGGGACCCGTTCCCCTGGAGAAAACAAGATGCCTCCCTGGCCCGAGGGAAGCCAGGCTAGCTGCCAATAGGGCCGGGGCCTTTTCGGTGGCGGCCCCTACCTGGTAGAAGGAGCTCCCGGAGGAGATCAGGGCCCTGCTGGACCTTTCACAGCTCTTCCGCCAGGCATTTAATTAGGGGCCGCCACAGTTGGATCGCCTGGCCACTGCAGCGCCTGGCCCATGAGCCACCATCGAGTTGTGGCCATAAGGAAACTACGCGCAGAAGAACATCTCAGAACATTCGGGAAATGGAAATCCTTTGGAAACTGTGTCATCTAAGTGCATTTTAATCGCCGCCAGCACTTTATGCTTGTTTTATTTGTTGTGTTTTTAATAATTGCGTTTTAAGCTGTATATATGTCGTTTTGGAAGCCGCCCTGAGCCTGCCTTGCAGGGAGTAAGGCAAAGGTCTCCCTTGCTCGAAAGCCAGTCGAGTCCTAGGGTTGCGGTGCTCCTCTCCGTTTCCAAGCCAAAGAGCCAGCGCTGTCCGAAGACGTTTCCGTGGTCACGTGGCCGGCATGACTCAACACCAAGGTGCACGGAACGCTGCGAAGCGGTACCTATTTATCTACTTGCAATGTCTTGCTTTCGAACTGCTAGGCTGGCAGGACTTGCGGGGAGGGCAGGGTATAGATTTGACAATAAATAAATAAATAGAAATGCTTTTGGAGGGTTCACCCTACGGAAGTCCCTGTCCTCCACAAGCTCCACGCCCCAAGTCTCCAGAAATCCCCCAGGCCTGGAGTTGGCAACCCTACATTCTGGGCATGCCTGCGGGGGGGGGGTGATGCCCGCCTAGCACCCTTTCCAGCCCGCTCCCCTCCAGCCTAAGGGGGCCATGCCCCTGCCGAGGCAGAGGACCAGCGGCATACCGAGGGGGAAAGGGGTGGAAGGGCGGGCAGGCTCCCGGCCCCGGGGGGCTTGCCCGGCCAGCGCCTGATCCCTCCGCTGCCTTCCGCCCCCCTCTCAGCCCCCTCCCGTGTCCAGACCGCGTCTCTCTGACTCCCTGTCAACAAAGTGACGCGGCTCCCGACGTGAAGGATGAGTCACTGGAGGAAGCGAGGGGCTAGAACGCGTCGGGGTCCTTCAGGCGTTCGCCGGCGGCAGCCCCGGCCACGTCCCCCTCCTGCTTCCGCCCTCACCTGCCCGCGAGGGGCCTCGTTGCCCACACGGTGACGCGTTTCCTAGCCGGTCGGGGGAAGCGGCTCCATGGAGATGGGACGGAAGCCTTTCCGGCGCTCCCCTGACTTACCTAAGCCCCGCCTTCCTCTTAAAGGGGCAGCCTCCTTTTGTAAGACCGAAGGGGGTTTCAACAGGAGAAAAATAGGGAGGAAACGTGGAGAGGGGACTCTAGAACTTCCGGGTCCACTCCTTTTGGGAGGAGCGTTGGGTCTGGGGCAGCGAATATGAAAAGGATTAATTAATAAGAGAAGCACATGAGCATGTGCAGAGTGCATTTCCTGTGCCATTGAGCAGTGCCACAATTTCCTGTCTTTTTACGGAGAGGCAATATGGTGTAGTGGTTTGAGTTGAGGCCTATGAGCAAAGTGTCCCAGGTGTGATCTCCATAAAGCTCACTGAGTGATCTTGGGCTAGGGTTTCCAGCCTCCATGTGGATCCTGAAGATTTCCCAGATTTCAGTTGGTCAGATCTCCAGATGACAGAGCTCAGCACCTAGGGTTGCCAGCTCCAGGTTGGGAAATACCTGGAGATTTGGGGGGTGGGGTGGAGCCTGGGTAGGGCGGGGTTTGAGCAGAGGAGGGACCTCAGCAAGGTACAGTGCCATGATAGAGCCCACCCTCCAAAGCAGCCATTTTCTCCAGGGGGACTGATCTCGATTGTCTGGAGATGGGTTGTAATAGCAGGCGGTCTCCAAGCCCCACCTGACGGCTGGCAATTCTATGAGGCTGCTTTGGAGGGTCGGCGGTGGCGTTATACCCTGGCTGAGGCCTCTCTCCTCTCCAATCCCACCTCCCCCAGGCCTCCACCCCTAAATCTCCAGGAATTTCCCAACCAGGAGTTGGCAACTCTGTGCTGGGCCAGCCCATTCTTGCTCAGACTAATCTCTCTTCCAGGGTCCTTGTGAGGATAAAATGACTGAAGAGAGAACTCTGTATGTTACCCCGAGTTCCTCAAAGGAAGCGGCTGTTTAAAAATAAACTTAGTAAATAGCTGGCAGGAATTCAAACCGCTGAGGTTTATTCTAGTCCCATTTCTATAAGGAGGAAGAGGAAATACTGCAGCGATTTCAGAGATACCGTCTCTTTGGGGCGACTTTTTTGCTTTAATCGTGTACCGTACAAAGCGAGGCTTTGGTGTAGTGGTTAAGTGCGCGGACTCTAATCTGGGAGAATCGGGTTTGATTCCCCACTCCTCCACTTGCACCTGCTGGATGACCTTGGGCAAGCCATAACTCTGGCACAGCTGTCCTTGAAAAAGAGCCGTTTCTGTCAAGAGCTCTCTCAGCCCCACCCACCTCACGGGGGGCTGTTGTGGGGAGGGGAAGGGAAAGGCGTTTGTCAGCCGCTCTGAGACTCCTTTGGGTAGTGAAGGGCGGGGTATAAATCCAATTTCCTCTCCTCCTCTTCTAATAATATCCAAGTAACATTTAGGCATCACACCAGGTATCACACAAACTTCAACTATTCTGAAAAGGAACTGGAAGGGGGAAAGGATAGTGATGACCAGTGATGCACTTGCTTTCTCCGATATCTTTATGTTATGTACTGAGCCTGAACTGTACTTACCAGGAGACCTAGCTTGGGGATGCATAACAATAGCTGGCTAGGATCCTGGAATGGACCAGTAGGAAAACAAAGATCGTAGAGTAAACCAATTGAGAAACAATGTAATGTAAATAGCCTATCGTTGGGAGTGGGGTGTGTTTTGGGTGTAACTTTCTGCATGCATAAATACCCGGTGACGGCCAGGGATTTTCAGTCGTCTTTCTACTTGCTGAATCACTAATAAACTATGAGCTGATCACTATGCGCGTCTGAACCCAGTATATTTATTTATTTATTTATTTATTTATTTCATTTTATTTCTATCCCGCCCTCCCCGCATGCGGGCTCAGGGCGGCTCACAGGGCACTAAGGTGCTATAAAAACAGGTACATTAAAACAGCAAACTAAAAATATACATGAAGGACTAGATTACACGTTCTCCCTTACATGTCATGAGGAGGTCCGATGACAGAATCCAACTCCAAGGGGAGATGGCATGAGCCATGATGTTCCCACTTCCCAAAGGCCCATCCCCGGCGGGTCCTGCTCCGCAGATATACGGTGGTGGTAGTGGTGGCGGCGGCCCCTATTCAAAAGCCTGGCGGAAGAGCTCCGTCTTACAGGCTCTGCAGAACTGTAGAAGGTCCCGCAGAGCCCTGATCTCCGGGAGCTCATTCCACCAGATAGGGGCCGCCACCGAAAAGGACCTGGCCCTTGTGGTAGCTAGCCTGGCCTCTTTAGGGCCCGGGGTCACTAAACGGTTCTGTGACCCCGACCGAAGTGCTCTTTGGGGCCTGTATGGGGAAAGACGGTCCCTCAGGTGTGTTGGACCCAGGCCATGTAGGGCTTTAAAGGTAAGCACCAGCACTTTGAAGGGAATCCGTTATGCTATAGGCAGCCAGTGCAGCGCCTTCAGCACAGGTTGGATGTGTTCCCATTTAGGGGCACCCACCGACAACCTGGCCGCCGCATTCTGCACCAGCTGCAACCTCCGGAGTTGTGACAAAGGCAGCCCTTTGGATTTCACTTTAGGATTGCCAAACCCCAGGTGGGGCTTGGAGATCTCCAGGGATTACAACTCCAGACTACAGAGATCTGTTCCCCTGGAGGAAACAGCGGCTTTGGAGAATGGACTCTATGGCATTATACCCCACGGAAGTCCCTCCCCTCCCCAAACTCGCCTTCCCCAAGCTGCATCCCCAAATCTCCAGGAATTTCCCAGCTTGGAGTTGGCAAGCCCAGCATGATGTTTTTGATCTTTTTTTTT